TGTGTAGAGTGTTATTACGGTAGAAAGCCTGGCTAAAACCGTAGCTCACCAACAAAAAAAAGTGCACATGCGCAAAAAAAAACCAGCTAACCGTGGAAGAGCAAGTAAGATGGCTTTACGTAAACATATCACCAGAATGATTGACAATCAGGTGATAGATGATCCACTCGCAAAAAGAAAATCCTCAGCTATACCTTTAAACATAAAGTTAAAAAAAAAACTATTTTTTCCCTTATGCCTTAATAATGTCAAGGTTTCGTTTGACTGATGCAAACATTGGCAGGCTGAGTTTTATTGCTAATTTATCTGAAACACTCCAGGAGTTTGTAGCCATTTAGCTCATTATTAGAGCAACATACAAAACTCTAAATCTGGATAATGAAAAATTGTTTTGTTTTTTAAGTTTGGCTGAGACACACCTTTGGTATAAAAAAAAAAAAAGGTAAATTCAGCCTAGTTTTTTTTTTCTTTCTTTTTTTTTTTACTCCAGCCAGCCGTCCGACAAAGTAACAAATGCTATAAAAACAACACCTCCTTGGTGGGGATAGCCCCCAGCATAAAACTAAAAGCTAGCTGGTGTAGGTTCCAGATCTGCTCGGGGCTCCGCCCCTTCTTATGACCTCAATGTATGGCAACTCCACTCGGACGAACTGTATAGCACCCATTTCTTAAGGATCAAATGTCTTCTGAAGTCTTAACTTATTATTCCCTATATTTGCTATTATTTTACATTTCATTGGCGATCTAAAGTAGCCGAAAGTAGAAAACAATCAGTGTCAGTCTTGAAGGAAAGTTCTGCCTTCTAAGACAGACTGAGCTCTGCTATTTAACAAGGTGACAAAAAAGTCTCAGTTTATTTTTATTCTTTTTATGAAGATCTGAGGGCAGGAAGGACAAATGAAATATCTAAAAAAAGAGATTTTAGACAAATAAAAGAGTTATTCTACTTGTTGAAAACAAACGGTTGTTGTTGACACAAATTTAAAAGTAGTGTAGCTTAATATGGCTAACTGACCGAGCTAAAAGAGGCTAACCTGTTAGCTACTGAGCACAGCTAGCCACAGCACTAACCAGCTCTTTATATCATGGTCTATCAGTTACTTTGTTCACCAGAAACAGATTTTTTTCAGTTTTTGCTATCACGGTAACGCTACAGATGCTCTCAACACACAGATGCTGTGTAAAGTTAGTATCGTTGTCTGGGCAACCACAATGTTTTATATCATGTGGCAACGTTCAGCCAATCATGTAGCATAATGCCACTAGCATGCGCAGGATCCGAGCAGATCTGGTACCCACACCGGTTTCGCTTGCTGCCAAACTTATTAGGCAAGAAAAGATGGTTCAATATTAAAAACTCTCTAATGAATAAAACATTTTAAAATTTCCAAAAACTATTGAGACATATATTATTTTAAAGATCAGTCCAAGTAAATCATACTACCAATAAAACTGTTTTTAAAAAGGAAATTCTCACATATTTAAAAGGTTTTGTTTTTAGTGGGAGGACAAGTGACCAGAAGATTCACACGTCTGCTGCAGCTTATCAATTTTAACATCTGTTTTGAAAAGTATTTCCTTAAACCTTGATTTCTAACTCCAGTCTTGACGTTCCAGAGCCGTAAAATAACATTTCTGTCGATGTTTTGGCTGTGCTCTGTATCTGTGTTGTTGTGTTTTCACTGTATTTCCTGCCTTCATGCCACATCAGACTGCCTGATTGTGAGATGAGCCACGAAGGGAGCTTCAGGTACTTCATTTCTGTCCGTGGTGTGTTCATCCTGAAACAGTATGTCCACTAGATTCTGCTAGTTTACCCTCCTCTATAGACACTGACCCCCCCCCCTCCCAACACTATTTGCTCACAGTCATCATAGTGAATATAACCGCAGATATGAAGGGAAGAATCACTCATTGATCATTTTCCTTTAACATGCATCAAGGTAAAATCACCCAGAAATACACTCTCTGATCGTGATCATCCACAACATCCCTGCTAGTGCTTCCCAACTCAATCAGCTTATAAATCTTTCTTGAATATTTATTTGTCTGATTATTTCTGTTGCTGTTTAAAATCCCAGAGGCCCAAAAATATGAGACCTCGTTGTCTAAGAAGCCAGAAAACCTAATTATCCCAGACAGACAGAATGACTGCATCACTCACACGGCTCTCCTTTCCTGGGTGGGAAGGTTAATTTGATCATCAGCTGGCCGTCATCCCTGTCTGCTCTTTCACATCCGTCATGTCTTTTTAACATTGAGGCCCAAGCTGTTCTCCGTTGTCCCTACCCTGCTTTGTCTTGTTTTTTTTCTGCACGTTTTTAAAGACAGAGAATTGAGTTTAAGGTCAATTCTGACTAAAATGCTGGTTTTGACAGCTGGTCAGAGATTGAGGACTCTGAGGAGGACGTCGGGAGGTACATCTTCATCTGATCGTCTCCTGCTTCTTGTTGTGGAGGCTTTAGTGACCTGTTTGACTCGTTGTTCGCCTCTGCTGCTTTCCTTCCATCAGTTCTAACCCTCCTTATGTTTGTGCCTCTTAATGCTGGTTCCAAGTTGCTCATGAGCACATACGCATGTGGGACATTAGTTTCTATATTTGTGGTTATGCAGCAGAATTGTCCATGTTTCTTTTTTTTTGTGTTGAGGCATTTGTGGATCAAATGCATGATAAAAGAGAAAACATGCAGCTAAAGCAGAGTTACTGTCCTTGAGGGCTGTTTTCCTGCAACTTTTACATGTTTTTCCTTTTCAACACATCAGCATTGCTCTAAAGAAGAAACAAGTTTCAGCAAGGAATTATCAACGGATCATAATTTGTACCTAAAACTAATAAATTTGCAGTGATTTAATGAATTTAGCGTTAATCAGTACAGGGCTGACAGACCCTGCAGCAGCAGAGGGGTCTGCTCCGATGGGTTAGGAGGGAACGGCACCTGCAGCTGCCAGGTGAGACACACACACAGATCTTAGTTCTGCTATGTTTGCGAGGACTTTCTATTGACGTCCATTCATTTCTAACTCCACCCTGAGCCTACCCTTTACCAACACATACCTAACCCTCAACCCAAGCAGCTAAAGTTTCCATTAGTTGACTGGCCCCCATAAGAACCTGTAAGGCCTGAGAATGTCCTCATATTTCTGGGAAATTGATCATACAGGTTCCCACAAGGCCCCACCACTGACCCATGAGGAGCCAATCTGGTACCAGCAACCTTAAAGGAAACTAAAACTAATACGGGATTTAATTAATTTAGCGTTAATCAGTAAAAAAATTAAAAACAATCATTTTCGTTGCGATCACTGAGTCTGGGAGCAGCCATTTTTGCCCAAATATAGTAGCCCCTCCCTCCTGCCGTCTTCCAGCAGTGACGTCACGGTGCAGTAAGCCTAGCGCCATTCTCCCTGCTTTACAAGCAAAATCAATGGGAACTACTAGACACATCTGCAATCAACAACAATTACTGAAGATTTCCAGAGGACTTCACCATTGAAATTCACCAGAGCTATAGTGAAACTGACAATGCCCACGTGCATGGCAGCTGGATGCTGGAATAAAAGTGAAAAAAAAAAGTTATTTCACCTTTCTGATTCCTGATCCTCCACGGACGGGTTGGTCGTTGGATTGCCAACTTGAAGAGGGAGGATTTGCCATCAAACTTCTGGCCAGAGAAAAAACCCGTAATATGTAGCCAACATTTGGAAGAAGAATGTTTTCAAGATGACTTGGATAATAGCGCGTTGTGACAAACACCAGATACAGCACTGGGACTTGATCAACAGCCGATACCGCACCGTGACGTCACAAACCAGTAGGTGGCAGTAGTGTTCTTTGACAAACATGGATGCCTCCAGTAAAGAACATTCACATGAAAATTACTCTGAATTAAAAACACTGATCATTTATTGAACAGGATGGAATAATTTCATATTTAACGTACCTTCAGCAGTGTGTATTCTGAATGTGACCGGACTTTTCCTTTAACACATTTTAACAAGAAAACAATTCAAAGTGCTTTATTTAATGAAACATGAGGAAAGCAAACCACTTTAAAAAGTATCTTATGGTGGAATAAACAAGGAAGGTAAAGAGAACTTGTACTACAGACTGAAATTAATAGATTTCTAGTTAATAGTTTAAAATAGTGAAATGCAGCTTTGAACAATCAAGATAATTTTTATTTCTTAAAGGATTTTAAAGTCTATTCTCTGAGATACAATGAGCCAGAGGAATGACTTCAGAACTGAGCTGATTATTCTTCACTTTCTTAGTTCTAGTGAGGATGCAGGCAGCAGCATCCTGGATCAGCTGCAGCTGTCAGATCCAGTTTCTAGGCAGCATGTGAAGATACAATTCTACTAAAGATGAACGAGGCAGGAAGTAACTTTTCAACATTAGTCCTTTAATTCTGGAGACGTCCTTCAGGGGATAGAAGGCCCACTTTGTTCCTTTCTTTATGAGCATCTGAATGTTCATGTCTGATACCATCACTACATCCAGATTTAGGTGCGTGGAGATCTTGAATATGAGGGGCCCTAAATGGAGCCTTGGGGAACGCCTTGTGGGAGTTCTGTGGCTCTAATGGAAAGTTATTTACTGATGAAGAAAGAGAGGTTTTGGATCACAAAACATTAAAAAGTTGCAGGACAGCGACCATCGAGGACCAGAGTATGTCTGTTCACATTTATTCCTTTGCACTGGAATATGAACAGTCCCGTCCTTCCAGCAGGTTCTGCTGCTTTCCGAGTGTTTGACCTGGTCAGTCTGCTGCTGGTGTCCCATTAGAGTGCCGTCTGATCCCAGAGTGGTTTGTGTTTTTAATGCTGGGAGTCCTCGCTCTGCTGAACAAACCTTTCACCGATATCTGACATGTGAAGCTGTTTTTATGCTTCATGATCCTCCAGCAGTCAGGAAAGGTATGGCTGCTGTGGAAAACTATCATTAATGGCTACTGGAAATGCTTAGAAATCAGGATTATAGTTTTGGAATAAATATATTCAATCTGATCACTGCAAACTCACATTATAATGAACCTTGACCACTGTATTAGCTCATCCCTCAGGGAAAAATGGGTTTGAACTACGAACGTGCAGCCCTGTCAGAACACTGA